ACAATTTCGAGCTATGTTTATACAAATTTCTACTTTTCATTCATAGATATCATGTTTATATTTTCTTCCTGAATATTTTTCCATACAAATTAACATATTCTTTATCTAAAGACGTGTATTTATACACGTGCTTTCACTTTTATTTATGACATATTTAAATCTTATTTAGATGTGACAGTGAAACAATTTAACACGGAAAATTTATTATAAGATAGTTCCAAAGTTTTCAAATTTTAATTATGCCATGTGACAATGAACATATACATAGTTGCAATTTATTCCTTTTCCTTTCTTACTTTTTGTAGATACATTTACAGATAGTCTATCTTCTGAATAAGTCTGTTCAAGTCATGAGTAATTCACATTAACTTGATCCAAGTTTCTTACAGTTGAGTCGGCTCGAATCCTACATCAAGCGCGGTCTATGTTGATAGAAATTATCACCATAAAGGAAAGATCTTTAGTGAAGTAGACTATATAAATAAATAATAGGAATCTTGAAAATTTTTGACTGATAATTTTTAGTAAAATCACCGTATCGTATCGACTGACTCAGGTGATGTATCTTTTATGCTATTTGAATTTGATTAATACTATACGATACATTCAAACTTAATTATCTCATATATTATACATAATCCAACTTGAGCCACATTTAGTTAGGCACATTAGGTCACTAGAGCATTGAAGTCGTTCAATCGAAATTTATTGGCTTACATGCTTTATTATGACAGTACATTGGTTGTTGTCGGGCCATAAAAATTCTAAATATCTTTGCTCAAGACAAAGAAAAATTGATCTTACTATTAGGTTAGACGTATCAAAATAATATCAAAGGAAAAAATATTTATCTATTCACAAATGCTTATAAAATTATATAACAGTAAATTTGTTATCATTATCATTCTAAAGTTTTTAATTCCCGAAGTTTGATTTTGAGATTTTTTTTTTTAATATTTTGAATACACATAGGTTTACTTTTAAGCATTATTATCAAAGATTGAGAATGAAGTAGAATGCATTTCATCAGTAACTAAAAAACGAGAATCGCCTATTTCCAAATATTATTTGGTCATAATTTTCTAATTATATTGAACTAATTAAAATTAACTAATAGTTTACACGACACAAAGCAGATTGAGCACGTGCGATGCAATATTTCCTCTGAAGTTAACCGACTCTTACTCGAACTATTTCTTTGTTGATCCCAAGACGAGACAAATACGCCGTGTATGGACGTTCAGGCTGACCACGGATGATCACCCCTCAATTAATTATGAATTTGTAATTATTTAAAAATAAAATTGACTTTTTGTGAGAGGAATAATACTATTTGTCATTATGATGATCGATCATAACCCACATTGGCATCAAACATAATTAAATGCATGGACATGAAGCACATTTTATTAGACATATTATTCAATGTCATCTAAACATGATTATCCATCATCATGATAACAAATAATACTACTCTTGTAAAAGTATCTCCAATGCATCTATAAATTGTTATCTAGGTGACATCTAAGTTGAAAGACTCATGATTTATCGGTATTGATATTTGATGAATAGATACTCAAGTTTGAAATTGATGTATCTACAACGCAATAATAATGTCTAGGTATCTTTTATTTATTTTTTATTTTTTTCTTTTGAAAATTGCACATATATTTGAATAGGACATATAAATTTTGCTGGGTTAGTAGCGTGTGTAACGGAACTCTTGATCTGTTTTTTCGTTTGTTACATCAACTTGTCAAGTCTTCTCATATTATCTAGAGAAGAGAATTTTTTTAAATATTGTCTATTTTTCTTATATGACATTTGTTGGGAATCTACTTATCATGCGCAGCGGAAAATTAAAACAGATTTCGATTCCCACCAGAAATCGTCTTTGTGTTTAGATAGAAATTATGATAAAAGTGATACATTTTCACGATCTGCAAACTCCTTTGCCTTATCTTTGTTCCAGCAACTTGGATCTGGATCTGTCTCCTACAACTGTCCAATTATCCAACTTCCAACGGTGATCCACACAGAGAACAAGATTGTAGTATTAGGGTTTTTATTGTGCTAACAAGAATAATGAAAAATCACACCAATTTTGAAAACCCTAATCATATTTATATAAGCCCGAACGAGCTTAGCCT